GCAATGAATGTACAAATGTGCTTTACACAATTGATGTATGTATGGATTGTGATGAGTCATATGAGTCCCTAATAAAACGATTAAAAAATATATAATAATTTTTAAAAAGAGACATGCACAGAAGAACACGCCCTCATCTATGCACGTGAGCGCACAAACACACAGGCCCATAAACACAGGACAGGCTCCCACAAACACACAGGCGTACATCAACCTGTCAAGTGGCCGCTTAGTCCCATGCATGTCCGTGAGGGATGGTCCCACGGGAAAGCATTAGAAGCCCACCCCCCTGGCAGACCGAATCCTCGCCATGGGGAGCAACAGTGCCCACCGTTTCCTCTTGGGCCCCTGCAGAGGGGAGAACCCTGGTCCACAGCCAGGCCCCAGTTCATGCAGTCCTGCTGTGTGACCCCTCCCCAGGACTGATGGGGAGCAGGACTGAGCCCCCCGGGGCTGGGAAGGCTACAGGTGCTGATTCACTTCACTCTCATGCTCTTGGCTCCACCTCCTGGGAGCCCCCCTTCCTCAGGCCTTCACATCTCCCACTGTGGGGGCAGGGGCAGACTCTCTTCTGGTCCTCTCCTAGAGGCACTGAGGGGGCCAAGTCAGCAGTTGAGGGATTGGGGCCACGCCAGTCCCATAAGAAGTATTGGGGGGGGGCTGAGCTGGGTTCACCTGTCCTTGTCTCTGATTGGCCCTTGGCCACCCCCACCCCACCCCCAAATCCCACTAAGCAGCCCCCCCACCAGGGCCGCGCAGGTCTGCGGAGAGCCAGCTGGTTGTCAGTCCTGGGTCTGAAGGGCATCTGGGGAGGCCAGAGCCTGGCTCTGGGGGTCCCCTCCATCCAGAGGAGCTGCCTGCCCGCCTGCCCCTTCACCTGCCTCCTGCCTGGGGACCATGGGGGCTGGGGCCAGCGCGGAGGAGAAGCACTCGCGGGAGCTGGAGAAGAAGCTGAAAGAAGACGCTGAGAAGGACGCCCGCACCGTCAAACTGCTGCTTCTGGGTAGGGTGTGGGCCCAGGGGGGCACAGCCACCAGGCCAGTGACGTGGGGCAGGCAGGTGGCTGGCCCTTCTGCGGAGCCCGGAGGGTTCCTCGGGAAGGGAGTGAATGCCTGGCAGGCCAGGCCTGACTCCGATGCCTCTCTCCGGAAGGATGAGCCTCTGCGACTCTGTCCTTGTTGTAGGAGTGCCAACATCTGGGCAAGGCACCCCCTTGCTCTGGTTCCCTTGAGCTCCAGCCTGTTCGGCAGGGGCGCAGAAACCAGGTACTTCACAGTAGGACTGCTGCCTTAGAAAGCAGATGGTCACAGTCCAGGGGTGGCGAGTCTCTAAGATCCACAGACAGGGCCCTCGGCCCCCAGAACTTCATTGGGGCTGACCTCCAAAGCCGCCACAGGAGGCCCGGGCCCCGGAGGTCAGCGAGGGGGATGGACAAGCCATGCCCAGGTTTCTCGAGTAAGTGAGAGAAGATGATGCTGACCCAGGCCTGCCTCTTGGCCACTGTCTGTCCCACTAAGGGTGATGAAAAGCTGTTTTAAGACAGCCATGGGTGAGGGGGAGTGTGGAGTGGAGACCCAAAGCCCATCTGTAGGCAATTGGACATCCCTTTACAGAAGGGTCTCAGGGAGGAGATGAGCCAGTCAGGGTGCAGTATAGCACTGATGAAACATGCAACTTTCCTCTAGCTCTGTAATGTCCCCCCCCCAACTATCATGATCCCGATTCTACCTTACAAATCCGGCTAGACCAGAGCATGTACACTGGTACAGATAGGAACTGGAAACATAGGGAATCCAGGACAGATAAACCCCTCAGGACCAATATTGAGTAGTCATACCAGAAGGGGAAGGGGAAGTTGGGGGAAGGCGGAACTGATCACAGTGATCTACATATAACCCCCTCCTAGGGGGATGGACAACAGAAAAGTGGGTAAAGGGAGACATCGGTCAGTGTAAGACATGAAAAAATGAAAATTTATAAGTTATCAAGAGTGAGGGAGTGAGGGGGGGAAATGAGGAGCTGATACCAAGGTCTCAAGTAGAAAGAAAATGTCTTGAGAATGATGATGGCAACAAATGAAATGTGCTTGACACAATGGATGGATGGATGGATGGGTGGGTGGGTGGATGGATGGATGGAAGGATGGATGGATTGTGATAAGAGCTGTACGAGTCCCCAATAAAATGATTTTTTAAAAAATAAGATGGCCGTGGGCTCAACCATGCTCTCCAAGGGCCAGCCAGCCAGGTAGAGCTAGGTAGAGGGGAGGCTCAGCTGAGAATCCCATTAACTGGGCCCAGGGTTCTCACAGTCAGCTCAGTCCTCCCTGCCCAAACACGCTAATTCCTTCTGAGTCTTTTGAGCATTCTAGCTCAATCCCCACTCCCCCCTGCCCGGATGAGAACCCTGGGCTGATGCGGCTCGAGGATCCCTGCATTACATCATATTGTGAGCACCTGGGCGGGCTGCTAACAGAATAGTCAGCAGTTGACGAAGAGGAAGAAGAGGGAGTTGGATTCCATAAAGGATAGATTCGTGAGTGCTACAGGGCAGTTTCACTCTGTTTGACACAGTGGTCGGTCATGGATTTGGTTTGATCTTAGGTCATCAAACTAATCCCTGGTGGCATAATGGTACACGTTAGGCTGCTAGCCTCAAGGTCAGCAGTTTGATACCCACAGCCGCTCCGAGGGAGAAAGATGAGGCTTTCTACTCCCAAGAACGGTGACAGTCTCAGAAACCCACAGGGAAGTTCTACCCTGCTGTCCGGTGGTTGTGAGTCGAATCGACTCACTGGCAGGTTTTTTTAAAATCATTTTATTGCGGGACTCGTACAGCTCCTATCACAATCCATCCATCCATCCATCGTGGCAAACTCACCTGTTCATCCGCTGCCATCCCATCGTCATTCTCAAAACACATGCTTCCCACTTGAGCCCTTGGTATCAGCCCCCATTCTCTCCCCTCCCTCCTCACCGGCAGGTTTTTGCTGGTTGGAGGCCACTCCCAGAAGGGGGCGCTCCAGGATCCATTCTGGGTTCCCTGGGCAGCACCCAGGCTGCGCTTACAGGCTCAGCTCCTCGCTGCCTGTGCGCCTTTGGAGCCTACCCAACGCCTCCCAGGGAGGCCTTGCCCTGTAGAGATTCAAACCAAACCAAACCGTTGCCTGTGGCACACTGCTGCAGTTTTTCCTGTGAAGCTTTCGAACTGCCAGCCTTTTGGCTAGCCGCCCAGCATTCATCCGTTGCCCCTGCACCTGGGGCCCCTCTGGTCACTATCACAGCGGAGGAGACGTTATGGGGACCTTCTGCTCTCTGCCAGAAGGGTCGCCATCGGTCAAAATCCAATCAATGCCAGGAGGTGCACAAGGTGAACATGCCTGGCTGGTCACCAGCAGCTCGGGCGGGGCCTGCAGGAAAGACTCGACCATCAACAACCCTACAGGGCACATGGCTGCCCGGGGGTCACCATGGGGTCACTTCACATGGGCAGGGTCCACAGGCAGTTGAAGCTGCTCATTTCCCTCTCCTTCACCTCGGTCCTTGACAAACATTGTAACTGTCAGGTCTTACTTCGGATGGGGCTGGAGCAGGTGTGGCTGGGCATAGGTAGGCTCAGCACCTTGGGCTCTTCTGCCACAGGGCTGCACACTAGACCTTAGCCTGCCTGGGCTTCATTACCCGGCTGAGAAGGGAGGGCTGGTCTGAGCGTGGCTTCCGTTGTTCTAGGTGCCGGAGAGTCCGGGAAAAGCACCATCGTCAAGCAGATGAAGTGAGTACCCCGGCCGGCCCCAGGCAGGCCCCTGGGCCTGGGCGCCCACGACCAGCCTGCCCCTCCCTCCTTCCGGGCCAGGCGAGGGGAGGCTGCGCTGACCCGATGGCCTCTTCCGCAGAATTATCCACCAGGACGGATACTCGTTGGAAGAGTGTCTGGAGTTCATTGCTATAATTTACGGCAACACACTGCAGTCCATTCTGGCCATCGTGCGCGCCATGACCACGCTCAGCATCCAATATGGAGACTCGGCGCGTCAGGTGCAAGGGGAGGCGGGCTGGCTGGGACCTCTGGGGCTTGAGGCTGAGGGCAGGGGCCCAGGCTGACCTCCCCGTCTCCCACCACCTCCAGGACGATGCTCGGAAGCTGATGCACATGGCCGACACCATCGAAGAGGGCACTATGCCCAAGGAGATGTCGGACATCATCCAGCGGTTGTGGAAGGACTCGGGTATCCAGGCCTGCTTCGACCGCGCCTCGGAGTACCAGCTCAACGACTCAGCCGGCTAGTGAGCGAGCTCGCAGGCTGACCAGGGGTCGCAGGCGGACCAGGGGTCGCGGGGTGGGGTGGAGGTGGGGGCCTGCCACGCCCCCATTACCCTGCCCACACCCCGGGGTCTCCCGCAGCTACCTCTCGGACCTGGAGCGCCTGGTAACCCCGGGCTACGTGCCCACCGAGCAGGACGTGCTGCGCTCGCGAGTCAAGACCACCGGCATCATTGAGACGCAGTTCTCCTTCAAGGATCTCAACTTTCGGTACGACCCTTGCCCTTCTCAGCTCCCCCACCCCCCTGTCCTCCAGATGCCCACTCCCTCTGACACCTGAGAGCCCGCGACCGCCGTGGCCCGGGAGCCGAGGGCATGGCCGTGGGCGCGGGCCGGAGCTCGGGGCGCGGGTTCAGGTCCCCACGGCCCCGCAGGATGTTCGACGTGGGCGGGCAGCGCTCGGAGCGCAAGAAGTGGATCCACTGCTTCGAGGGCGTGACCTGCATTATCTTCATCGCGGCGCTCAGCGCTTACGACATGGTGCTAGTGGAGGACGACGAAGTGGTGAGTGCGCGCCCAATGCCGCCCGCCTCCGGGGCGACGAGGGCTGCGGGAGGGGGGGGGAGCTGGGAGGGACCCCGGAGCCCGGGATGAGGGGCTGGGTCCCCGGGTGACAGCAGCTCTCGCCCTCCGCAGAACCGCATGCACGAGAGCCTGCACCTGTTCAACAGCATCTGCAACCACCGCTACTTCGCCACCACGTCCATCGTCCTCTTCCTCAACAAGAAGGACGTCTTCACCGAGAAGATCAAAAAGGCCCATCTGAGCATCTGCTTCCCGGACTACGACGGTGCGACGCGTCTCCAGGCCGCCAGGGCGTGGCTGGGGCGTGAGGGGGCGTGGCTGGGCGTGAGGGGCGTGGCTGGGCGTGAGGGGAGGGGCCTAATGGGGCGGGGCGTTGAGGAGTGGGCGGGGCCAATGAGTGAGCCCGCCCCCCGGCGTCCCGCCAGGGCCCAATACGTACGAGGACGCGGGCAACTACATCAAGGTGCAATTCCTGGAGCTCAACATGCGGCGCGACGTGAAAGAAATCTACTCCCACATGACCTGCGCCACCGACACGCAGAACGTCAAGTTCGTCTTCGACGCCGTCACCGACATCATCATCAAGGAGAACCTCAAAGACTGCGGGCTCTTCTGAAGTTGAATTCGCTACCCCACCCCCGCCCGGACCCTTCCGTCGCCAGGTCCCCAGCCCCGCCCCACCACTGTAGGCTCCGCCCCAAATCATCAGGCCCCGCCCACGGCCACAAGCCCCGCCCCAGACTGGACTCTGCTGCCTGCTGCCCCGCCTCGGCTCCACAGGCCCCACCCCCTGTCACATTCCCACTGCCTCCTCCCACAAATCCCACCCATTTCTTTTTTTTTTTTAACCTCTTACCCTACCCAAGTGTCGCAGCTTCCAGCCTGCCACCGCAGTGACCCTCAGGGATTCCGATTCCCTTCCCAGGTGCCTAAACATGCGGCCCCGACCTTGAGCCCCCCCATACCCCTTCCTGCCTTGTAGACTCAGCTCTCAGGATTCCATCATCACGCAGGACTCCTGCCTGCACTGGGGTCCCTCCATCCACAGACCTAGAGCCTACCCTTCCCCCCGCCCCCCAGTCTTGAAGCTCAGACCCTTCCAGGTAGCCCTCAGGTCTCTGAGAGTCCACTGCCCTCAACCCAGCCCCAGCCCTGCCCTTCACGGCCTGGCTGCGCTGGCCTTCAGAACCCACAGCAACCAACCTGGCTAGGAGTGGTCAGGCCTCAGGGCAGGGGAGCTCAGGGTGACTCAGCAGGGTCCAGCTGACCAATCTCCTGCAGGTCTCCTGACCTGGGGCCCCAAGACTCACCTGTGTGTGTGGTGGGGGGAGGCTGGAATCTGGGCTCAGCAAACATCCCTCCCTCCCAGAATGTCATGAAGGGCAGGGGGTGGGCAGGGATTGCCCCTCCGGCAGTCCCCTCCAGCTTTGCTACTTCCATGTGACAAGTGTGACACCTGTCCACCAAGTAGCCTGTGGCTCTCCCTCCCTGCAGCTTAGGCGGCTCAAAGTCCAAACCAGCTCTGGCATGTACAGTCCCCCCTCGCTCCCCCACACATGTACATGAATGCGTGAGTAAGGGGCAGGCCAGGGAGGAATGCAAACTGGACCTCTCCCTACATGTCAGGCCCGAGTCACCCCAACCCCTTCCCCCCACAGGCTCTGTCCCCTCTGTCCTTGAGCACCAAAGGAGTGCCCACCTCACCCACCCACACGCCTCACCCTGGCCCAACCAGCCCGGCCAAGCGTTAGATGCGTTGGGGAGGGTACTGTTAACGCCAAGTGTGACCAATGGTCAAGCAGGCCCGAGGGGTGGGTGGGGCAGAGTCCGGCTCTCATCGATCAGACCACGGCCAGGCCAAGCATGCAGGACAGGATGGAGGCCCAGGCTTGTGCCCAGGGGACCTACCTCAGGCAGGGTCAGGAGGAAACCCCAGTGCTCGCCAATGGCCTCCTCCACCCTCCTCCTCTGGGGTCCATCCCTGGTAGGGAAAATGAAAGGCGATGCCTGAGCCCTTAGATGGAAGCCCATGTCCCCCACCTCCCCGCTCCCTTCCTCATCAGGCACCAAGCCCTAGCTGGTGCCCTGGGACGTTGGGACTGGGAGCTTCATTCTGGCAAGGCCAGAGCACAACTTGAACTCCCTTCAGCTAGGTGCACACAGAAATAAAGCTTGGCTTCAGACTCCGGTGGTCCTTTCTGGGGGCAGTGGGGAGCACAGTTAACTCACGGGGGGGGGGGGTGTCAGGGGCATTTGTCCAGTGCCCAGTGCCTGGCTGGACATGGGATGAGAAGATGGCCCCTACCAGGGAGAAGCCGCCACCCTGATTTGGTGGCGGCCACTCCAGGGGACATGGGACCCGCTAGTCCTTCCTGAGGGTGAGCTGGGGAGGAAAAGGAGTTACCAGGGTTATGTTCACAATGCTCAGGGAGTTGGCCTTGGACCAAGGGGAAGTTTTGAGACGGAGGCTCATCCAGCAGGGACAGTGGGCTTCATTCACACATAGATGAAGCCCAGGAGCACCGAGCTGTGGGCCACCGGCATCGGGAACAGGAGCAAGGACTAGGTATATGGGCCAGTGACAGGTGGCCAATGCCAGCCTGGGTCTTCTCTGGAAGAAGGCGGGAGTCATGTTTCCTGGGGGCTGATGTGGAGTGGCAGGGAGGCCCATTGTGGGTCTGGGTCCATGAGGTAGAGGCTTATGTCCTCATCACTGCCAAGGACAGCCAAGGTCTATAAGCCAGGAGGCGCTGGGAGAAGTCTGAGTCTATGCCTCTGACCAAGCACAGGTGACACCCCCTCCGAGCCAGGCCAGCAGATGAGGAATCCACTTGAGGGGCAGCAGAGTCTGTGGAAGCTGTGGGCACTGGGGAAGATTGTGGGGAAGTCAGCCCCCCACAACTAATCATGTGTTCAGTAAGCACAATTGTATGGTTGAGATATATAAAGATTATAGTAAAGTCATAGAGAGATGGGAGAGAGAGTAAAATAAAGACGTCATCAAATGTGATGAAGGAAGCTGATGGTGCCCGGCTATCAAAAGATACAGCGTCTGGGGTCTTACACACTTGAAGGTAAACAAGCAGCCATCTAGCTCAGAAGCAACAAAGCCCACATGGAAGAAGCACACCAGCCTGTGTGATCACGAGGTGCCAAAGAGATCAGGTATCAGGCATTAAAGAACAAAAAATCATATCATCGTGAATGAGGGGGAGTGTGGAGTGGGAACCCAAAGCCCATCTGTAGGCAACTGGACATCCTCTTACAGAAGGGTCGCAGGGAGGAGACCAGCCAGTCAGGGTGCAGTGTAGCAACAATGAAACATACAACTTTCCTCTAGTTCCTAAATGCTTCCCCCCTCTTCCCCACTATCATGATCCCAATTCTACCTTACAAATCTGGCTAGCCCAGAGGATGTACACTGGTACAGATAGAAACTGGAAACACAGGGAATCCAGGATGGATGATCCCTTCAGGACCAGCGGTGGGAGTGGTGATACCAGAAGGGTGGAGGGAAGGTGGAGTGGAAAGGGGGAACCGATTACAAGGATCTACATATAACCTCCTCCCTGGGGGATGGACAACAGAAAAGTGGGTGAAGGGAGACGTTGGACAGTGTAAGACATGACAAAATAATACTTTATAAATTATCAAGGGTTCATGAGAGAGGGGGGAGCAGGGAGGGAGGGGGAAAACTGAGGAGCTGATGCCAAGGGCTTAAGTGGAGAGCAAATGTTTTGAGAATGATGCGGGCAATGAATGTACAAGTGTGCTTGACACAATTGATGTATGTATGGATTGTGATAAGAGTTGTATGAACCCCCAATAAAATGATTTAAAAAAAAAAGGAGTCAGACACATTTCATGGTAGCATGCTCACCTCAGCCCTGCTTGGTGGTCCACGTGAGGATGTGGAAGGTGGGAATTGCTGGAGGAGCGAGCGAGAGGATGAGAGAGCGATTTATTGCTAACCAAGGCTTATATATCTTTGGGGGCATGCATGCCCCCTAATTACAGGTAAAGGCATACGTCACAGGAAAGGGTTGTACAATAGACATAAGCATAACAGGAAGGGGATAAGCTAGGGGTGTATGCATAATAGGAAGGGGAGGGACTAGGGGTATACATGTGACAAGAAGGGTGGACCCTAGATTCATGATGGCAACCTAACCTTGGTCACTCTTGAGTGGCCTAGACCTCCCTGGGCTCTCCAGGGAAACAATCTACTAGTATACTTATCAGAAGCGAGTGGGCTCTACTTAAGGTGTGACAGACTATGCAGTCTGATTTCTCTAGACGGCTGATAACCCTTAGGGAGAATAACCTCTGACCTCTTTCATTGACCTCTAAGTAAGCGTATAGTCATTTACCATGTGCGGCCAACAGCTAAGTTTGGCATATATTGGGGGGAGACAACTTGGGAGAAATCTTTCTGTTTCCCACAGAAGATGCCCAGGAAGCACGTAGCACTTGCTGAGGCTGGACAGGAGGTCTAGGTGAGTGGTTCTCAACTTTCCTAATACCGTGACCCTTTAATACAGTTCATATTGTGGTGACCCCCCAAACCCTAAAATTTCTTTGCTACTGTTATACATTGGGTGCCCCTGTGAACGGGTCATGTAACCCCCAATGGGGGTCGCAACCCACAGGTTGAGAACCGCTGGTCTAGGTGGTATCTTCAATAACCAGGTGGTGGCTGGAGCTGAGAGCCTGGTCGGGGGCGTGTGGTGTGGGGTGGGAGTGAGGTACCCCTGATCCTGGCACGGGAGGAACTCGGGGAGCAGTTAGGGAGCCCAGGATGGGTATGGACAGCAGGCATGCTAGCACTGCTCAGAATGACAGGCTTGGCCCTGTGGTAGTGGGTAGTATAGGCCTGACTGAATGGGAGCTGCTGGCTCCTAAGCACTCTGCCTGAGTGGTTTACTACAGCAGGTGGGGCGGGGAAATGACCGCAGGAGGTGAGCAGAGATAGGCAGAGAGGGCAGGAGATGTTGAGAAGCAGGAGGTGGTAGGCTAGAGAGGAGAAAGCTGTTAGGAGAGAGAGCCCAGCAGGGTCTGCTGCCCCGTCTTGGAAAAAAAGCAATGATGTCTCCAGTCTTCATGGGCAGGGAGCAAAAACACCATGTGGGAGCCGGACACCATCCTTTAGGGAGTCTCCCCCACATATGGTTTGAGCCCGGGGCCTGGGATTCAGGACAGGCTGGGGGTGGCCTGACCCTGAGCTGCCCTGCCCAGAGCCAGCAAGCGTGGGGTGTGCAGGGGCCCCCAAAGTTCCCTAGCCTGAAGCTTCCTTAGCCCCACCCACCACACCAGTGTAATTACACCCCCAAAGAGCAGGGTCTGAGTCACAGCCCAGGGCAGAGGATCAGAGAAGACTGGCACAGAGACGTGCTGTGGCCACACCCCAGGCTTGTGAGAGGGGTCATTTATTACGGGCACCTCCAGCCACCACCAACCCTGCCTGACCCACACCCTCAAGGTGCCCCTGAGGGCCCCCCACCGCCTGCAGCTCTGGCTCTGGCGAGAATAACCTGGCCAGGCTGTGAACCAGAGATTAGACAGGCCTGGCGGATGGTTAATGCCGCTGACGTCAGGGCCTGGCCGGGTGGCCACTGGTGGCTTGGGCCCTCCCCATGAACACTAGCACAGCCACATGACTTGAGCTTGTTAAGCCGCTTCAGTGGGCAGAGAAGCCAGGGGCCAGATCTCAGGGGAGAGCAAACCATGGGGCCAGAGCTGTGGAGATAGGCCTTGGCCCAAGGGTCATTAGCTGTGTGGGCCCAGGCCAGGGAAGGCTAAATAGGAGAGTGGCCCCTGGGTCCCCCTCCACACCCGTACAACCCTAGGTTGTGCCACTAAGACCCCAGCTCATGTCTGAGGAGAGCCTGACAGGCCCTTGGCTGCGAAAGTGGTGGGCATGAGTTCGGGACCGCGTACCTTGCCCTCCCCACACTCTCACCTAGCCACTCTGACCCGACGCCCCCTTGGGTTTCCACCTCAAACAGCCCTTTGGCCAAGCTGTTTCCTCCGTCCCAAGTGTCCCAAGTGCCCGTTCTCGGCCCACCCTGGCTCCTGCTGTCTCCACCTGCCTCTCACGTTCCTGCCACAAACTTTCCCATCTAGAGCCATTAGACACAGCATCCGGAGACACGGAGGCCTGGCCATAGGCTCAGGACATACAGAGATCCTCAGGCAGAGTCCTCGGAGATGCTGAAGGGCACTTGGGTGTTGAAGGACAAGGAGCCGGGTAAGGCAGGGAACCTCAGGAGCAGAGGCACAGGGCGTGAAGGCCACTCTGTTCGGGGAGAGCCAGAAGCCGCATGTGGCCAGTCGGGCAGTGGGAGAGGCGGAGAGACCAACTGGGGCAAGGGGAGGTGAGGGCTCTCAGGGCCAGCTGGGTGTGAGGCAGGGGCCTGCAAGGTGTCCAAGAGCCAGTGGGCTTGGGAGAGCTGGGGTGGAGAAGACGGGGTGCCCCAGTGAGAGGGGTCTTGGGGCATGGTGTGGACGGGGTCTGCAGACATGGAGGCTCACTTGAGGCTGAGTAGGGGTGCGCTGAAGGCTGAGAGCTTCCTGCAGAGGCCTCCAGAGCCAAGACCTGAGAATCCCCGCCTATCTTATCAGACAATACTGGGGGTGGGGTGGAGGGGTGGGCTGTGTGTAAGGCTCAGGAAGACCAGGGAGTAGAGACAGACTGGGACGAACCTCTCTGGCCGCCTTGTGTTTCATGAATGGCAGCCCCCAGTCTCCAAGAGAAGGAAGTCCCGGCCACTCTCTGAGCCCTGTCCTGGCTGCCCAGCTGTCCAGCCACGGCAGGCTGGACTGGGCTGGGAGATTCTGCAGGTGGTGGGAAAGACCTCCCTCGGAGCCATGTTTGCCCTGGCCTGGGCCCAGGCCTCTCAACAACAAACAGCCCCTCCCCCAGCCCAGCCACAACTGGCTGGCCCTGGGGACCCCACAGCATGCTCACGCCTCTGGGCCTTCCACAGCAGTTCAGTCCACCCGGAGCCTACCCCTGACCCCCCATCTGGTGGGAGGACCCCCAGCACCCACATGTTGGATGATCTTGAACGCAGGCCTGGCCCCTTAGGAGTTGCCCCTGGGAAGAGGCCACTCATAGTACCTGGGTCCCGTGAGTGTCCAAAGGGGTCTGCAGGTGGGAGCTGTCTGACAGTCTCTTGGACAAGAAATCCCTCCCCATTTCCCAACCCCAGCAGGGCAGGGACTTGAGTGGTATGAGATTTGGGGTGAAGGGAGGCTTGTCTCTCTCCCAGGACCATCCTCTTTAACCTCCTGGCCCCCTGGCACCCCCAGCCCAAGCTGAGCACCCCCACCCATGGTTCCCAGCTTCCTCTCCACCCACTCTCCCCAGGCGAAAGGCAAAGACAGAGCCACTTCTGTGTGACACAGAGGGAAACCGAGGCACTGGGGCTTGGCTGTGGAGGTGCTGTGAGTCAGCCGGAAGATATCCTGGAGTCCTGACTCCCAGCCCAGGGCACTGCCCACAGCCCCAGGAAGAGGGGCAGGTATGACAGAGAAAGTTCTGTCCAGCTGGCCTCCTGGCAGCGGTGGCCATGAGACTAACTAGATCAGAGTCCGTGTCCAAGGAACAAGGCACCACCCCGAGCCCCATTTCCCATGGACAAGCTGACAGTGTCCCCCACGCTCAGGGAAGCTGGTTGAGGAGTATGTCCGCCTTTACACCGCGCGTTTCCCCGCGGAGGTTTAGCATCGGCTGGGGACCCACGCTGCTCCTGGCGCAAAGTCCCCTTCAGGCTGGGGGAACGTGAGCGCAGAAGACTTCGGGGAGTAACGGGGGCGCCCATGGACCTCAGAGAGAATCTGCTTGGATCTGAAGCGT